TGCCCCCCCCCCCCATCCTACATTTTCTCTTTATCACACCTGAGAGGGTGAATTTGAATGCCATGTTTTGTTTGGCTGGTGGTCATATTATTATGGTGGTTATTTTAACATGGAAGTCTATAATGGCAGGTTTAAAAAATGTACCAAAAAAGCGTTCACATTGAGAGGTGTTCAGACATGAGAGATCTCCAGATTTACAGTTTTTTATACTGTTCACTATATGGTCTCCAATTGTGATTTTTCAAACCCCCATTCCTGGGAAATCCAAGCTGTAGCAATCATAGCTGAGATGTCATAAATGAGTAGAGTAGTATAAAGTTAGAACAGAACAATCCCACTGTGTTCATAGTATTAAATCAGGAAAATGCAATTAAAACAAGATCAAGTCCTGTTGACTTTGTTTTCCATATAATTACCTCTATCTAATGATGTTTTGGATGTCAAAACTATAGCATACCCATTCTTAAATTTAACTTCAGATGTGCTAATTGCTCAATATATCTCTTAAAATCTCAGTAAAGTATAACATTTTTGGCATTTTAATACAATTTGGAGTATTGGCTTTATGTCTGTTTACTTTATTCCTTGCTGATTCCATTCCTTTCAACTCTATTTTGCATTTTAAAAGATGACTTAACATGAAATTTCACTGACGGGAAAATCAACAAACCCTTCATGAGTTACATGTGAAAGTAATGAAACAGTTATCATCCATCCAAAATGTAATACTCGTCATGTTTTTCCTCATAAATACACAGCAAAGAGGAACTAGCAAGAAATAAAATAAACAGAGCTAAAAGTGTCTTTACTAATGACAAGACCAATGCATGAAATCTTGGATTTTATTTACATTTCCAGAGAAAAGGACAGACATTAAGTCATGGTTGAAATGTTACTATTTGGATGAGAATGTTACAAACATTTGAGTCATACTACAATTAGATTAGAAACAACTGTTTGCCCAACAAGACATTCTCCACTACCCAGTTTCTAGTCTCCAATGGTCACCTAACATTACCTCACCCTTGTATGAGCATATGTTGGGGGGGGAGTAAAGGATGAACCAATCCATGCAAGATGAGGACGTCTTGTCAGAAAAATAGAAACCTACCGCACAAGACCATAAATGCATTGGAAAAATATTCAAAATTTTGCATTGAACCCAGTTTTCAATTTTTTTCTTTTGAACCATCTTAGGGGCCCTGATAAGCAGCCTTATCCTATGCCAAGTAGAGTTTTAGGGAGATAAGTTGGTAAGATATATCCCGTATCCTGATTTTGAGGTTTCCATATCCAGAACCTCCATATCTCCCGCCATATCTCCGGCTTCGGTGCATATCTTCCCACTTCGGTGCATATCTTCCCGCTTCCGGTAAGTAGTGGAAATGCAATAAAATGACTTTGCATATGAATGATTTGTTTATTTTTACACCTTGTACTATTGAAATGGCCATATGCCCCTGAAAACTCTACTTGGTATAGGATAAAGCAGTTATGTACGGTCGGTTTGGATATTGGGTTCATCCCTCGTGAGATATGCACATCTACCTACGGTCCCTCAGGTAGATATGCATATCTCCCTCTGGATAAACCCATATCCAAAACCTCCCAGTACATAACCATTATATATCTGTACACTTAATTATGTGATAAATAACAGAGTTTTTGTAGTTATCATTTATCTTATTTTGATTCAACATTTCATCTGTCATCTAAACCTAAAATTTATTATAAGGTAAAATAGCTTTTTACTTGACATACATACTGCATTGTGCATGCATGCTTTGAATTCGATTTATAAATAAGCCCATTTGAGTGTTGTTTGGAATAAGTGAAAATTACATGGAAATTACAATGAACCCTCTTCTTAAATAGACACTTTTCTCAATGATGAACAAAAATAACTGAGAATAAATAAGTAATGTATTATTCCATATTTGTACATTCCATGCAGATGCCAGTGTCATAGTAATAAAACTCACTAAGCATGACATAGAAAAACATTTCATAAACATTAACAATAACAATTTGTATTTTTTATATCCATGTACAGTTTAGAAGACTACAACTTGATTAGATCTTCTAAATAAAAAATAATCACAACAGTGTCAATTACAATTGAGAAATACTCCAAAAATAAAGGAAAAATCAACAAAATTGTTAACATCCACATAAAGTTAATATTCTAAATTGTATAAAAATGCAAGAAAAATTACTACTTTAATCAAATTTTTTCAAGAAAATGAGGAATTTTGATCTGAAATATGGAAAATGTTTGCACGGTCTACCTGCATTTTTAATGTATGTTGGAGACAGTAATTCTAGACTATATGATTATGCATATTGAAGACAAAGGAGATTAATCATATCTATTTCAGTGCCTACCTCACAGAGAACTATTGGTTCTGGTTTAATAATATATAATGACGATTATATTGTTATATTATATTTCAATAGTAATTTTATACTGATGTGTGTGTCATATTAGAAACATATGTCATAGGTGTACGTATGTCTAAAAGCTTATATTTTTCCAATTGATTTCATAGTTTCTGACTTAAATGCAAAAGAATTTAAAAGGATGTTTTATATAAGTTTTTCTATTCTATTTTATAAATTCAAGCAGACAGACAGACAGAAAGCAAAGTCTCATTAAGTTTTTTGTATATTTATTTCTCCAGTGACTTGTTACTTTAAATAAAAACAGAATATTAAAGCACATGCAATTTCTAAAAGTAAGTATGACATATAAAAAATGAAATCCCAATTTTACATTTTCATGAGGTTTCTTCCATAATATGCGACAATGCTGACAAATGGCTGGCGTCATGGATATTAAAGATTAGCATAATTCTGTCATTCTACCACAAAAGTCTATGTTGTGTTTTATAAACACCAAAATCTAAAAAGCTCTCTGACGCATGCATTTTGGTAGATTTTTTCACTGTAAAATTTGATTTCTTAATTTTTTTCATTTCAAGTCAATTTTGAGGTTTCACTACGTAAATGCCTATTTACTTTATTCATCACAATTTTCACTCTTATTTGACCTATTTTGAATTTTGAAACCATGCCTCAGATATATTTTTCATGGGCATCCATATGTATATAAAGCTGCATCAGTTTGGTCTGCTTATGACACTGATAAGCTATAAGCTTTTAAATGCATTGGCTTTGCCTGTCAGGAGAAATGTGTTTGCTACTTTGATCGGGTATGCCTAGAAAACATACCAATCACTGGCAGACATAATATGCGAATAATATGCAAAATTGCAAATCCTTGAACATAAAAAATGTGTATATGAATATGCAAATTACAGTATTTACAAGTTTAGGTTTTAGCAGTATAAAATGTCACTTAGTAAGTTATTGCGAATGGTTACAAAAGTGTAACGATTGTTACAGATGTTGACTATTAAACACCAAGCACTGAATGAAGGTCACAATAAAATGTTGGCTTACAAAACACTACCACATCTTGGTGGTGACATAGACACAAAAATTCATACACTTGTAAAGTTTTAAAAAATTTACTTTATCTCATGCACATAGAAAAACGTAAACAAATCACAAGCAAAAATATGCACAGTTCGCTTCAGTTTTTTAACATATTAACCATAGATCAAAAACCATTAGGGGATTAATAGAGGATATCCTATGATTTATGAGTGATATGATTTTTATCCACGAATGGATATGATATCTGCACGAGCGAGCGTAGCGAGAGAGTGCAGATATCAATAACCATGAGTGGATTAAAATCATATCACGAGTAAATCATAGGATGTTCTTTTTATTCCATAGTTTAAGTCATCATCAGAATCGTCGGAAATTAAGTCATTTAATTCGAATTTTCCCAACGATCCGGCGATGTTGACACTTAGCCTCGTTTTGAGTCTGAAGTAGCAAAAATCCATAAACCATCGCATACGACGTCGTATGTCATGGCTAAAAAACCGTATGCTATGGTTAAGTGAAAATTTGTTAAAAATATCATATTTTACCACTGATTACAAAAATACCGTTTTTATTTTCACATGTTATCCTATGAATATCATGCTAACTATGGAATAATTCCTATTATGCTATACAAAACTATACAAAGTTTTTAAATTGAATATCAAAGGCAGTATCCTGGCACCACTACATCTGTTTCATCTCAAAGGCTTAGACGCCAATACCTTCATGTCATAATCTCAATAAAAATATGATCATCGAGACATAACGATCAAAACACACTTTAAGGTTTAAAAATTCCTCTATCTGCTGATAAAGTGGGAGCAGCCCTGTCAAGCAACCATAGACAAAAGGAAAATGCATTTGGAATTATTAATCCCAGGCCCGTAGCCAGGGGGTTCGAACGACCCCCCCCCTGGCCAAAAATTCTTACAAAATCATGCAGTGTTTCACCATTTTGAGCACCTTTCAAGTGATTTTGGTCATTTTTGAGCCAAAAGTGAGCCCCGCTGGAAATTTTTAAAAAGTAAACCCCCCTTGGCAAATCCTGGCTACAGGCCTGAGTCCTCATTATCTAATGTTTGTACGAGTATCTCTCTTCTAGGTAGCTGTGAAGCCCACAATGGGGATAAGTTGTGCCTATGGGACAAAGTTCAAAGTCTAGCCTCATCACTTTCACCTGAATAAATAAAAGAGAATTAGATTAATTAATTATCTGAGTCTGGCAGCTAATAATTGCACAAGGTTACTCTGACACATTTAGTGAATTAAGATATTTTATCTACAATTTACTCTTTTATCTGTTAGTAAACAATTTCATTATTCTGAGTGAGTCCTCATAACTGAAATGGAAATAAACAGTAGAAAGTAGATGTAGTAGATTTATGGCCAACTGATACAATTACTAAGTCATCCGAACACTCAGTCATTCAAACACTCACTCATCTAACCACACAGCCATCCAACATTCAAGCATCCTACCACTCACTCATCTAATCACTCAGTCATCCAAACACTCCACCATCCTACCACTAACTCATCCAACCACTCAGTCATCCAAACACTCCACCATCCAAACACTCCACCGTCCTACCACTCACTCATCCAACCACTCAGTCATCCAAACACTCCACCATCCTACCACTCACTCATCCAACCACTCAGTCATCCAAACACTCCACCGTCCTACCACTCACTCATCCAACCACTGTCATCCAAACACTCCACCATTCTACCACTCACTCATCCAACCACTCAGTCATCCAAACACTCCACCATCCTACCACTCACTCATCCCGGTACTCATCCAACTACTTACTCATCCAAACATTCAACCATCCTAACACTCACTCATCCAATCACTCAGTCATCCAAACACTCCACCATCCTACCACTCACTCATCCCGGTACTCATCCAACTACTTACTCATCCAAACATTCAACCATCCAACCACTCACTCATCCAACCACTCAGTCATCCAAACACTCAATCATCTTACACCACTGACTAATCCAACTAGTCCTCTATCCAGTATAAAGGCCTAAAAGTATCCTCAGAATGCTAATCTATAAGGTAGTTCAGTTACACGCTTTGCAAAATGTCAATAATTTTTTAACTTGTATGCTGGACTATGTTACCCTGCGCGCAGAGTATAGTTATAAACTAAGACGAAGCTCTCTTTTAAGAAATGAAGTTGAACGAATGCAAAGGGTAGCCCTATGTATGGAATCCTGTAGCTCCTGTATGTTATCTACACTGAGTCATGCATGCTTTATTGTGTCAGTGGCGCCAGTTCACTTACTGAGATGAACATTTAACATTTCCCCATTATTCCTTGCAAGAAAATACATGGAATTCCACTTCAAACAAATTCGCAAATAATACTCTAATACTTTGTTTTCCGATACCTTAAAAGGTGTTTTCAGGTTGGTTAACGTATATTCCATTCCTTTGTTGATTACATTCTGTATTTAATTTAGTTTATATTACTTGATTGTAATGTAAGAGACCCCAAGTTCTCTCCTATGTACCATAAAGTATCTCAGACAATATTGCTTTATGATTATAATCAACAATATTTAACTATTTATTAACTCTCTTTATAGGATGCCCTAACAACATTTTTATTTTATTGTTTTATTCATAGTGCAGATAATTAAGTTAAGTTTTGCTATAAGTCAAGCTATTAATTGATTCAAATCATGTTACGTAAGAGAGATAATGGGGAATATGTCAACCCATTTGAAAAGTTGTAGAAAACAGCCACCATGACGATCCTTGACAATTTTAAGAAATATGGGCAAACATTTCAGAAAATTATTTTTCCAGGGATAATTGTTTTGATTGGAATATTATTACTCAACCTTATTAACAAAGCTTGAGAGGAACAGTGAACAATTGGCAACATTTAAAATACAAAACAATGCACACACCTAAATGATTACAAAGTATGTTTAGCACAGGAAACTGAAATATAAAAACGATTTTCAAATTAAAAAAATATTTTCGATAAAATTTCATTTGTTGTTGGGAGATGAAACTCATCCTTATTGTCTCATGCAAATTAAATACAATATTTTATATTTATTTCCACAAGTTAATCATGGTAAGTCAAAAATTCAAATAAATTTAGACCTTAGACTTATTTATTGTCTCCAATTTATATTTATGGGACTTTCTTAGTCTATTATTATTCCCATAGCTTCTATTAGCACAAAAGACATATAATTCACAAATTAATGAATTATTTTATTTACATAGTATTTGAGAATGTTAAATATATTTATTTTATTTGTTCTTTTGCTCAGTGTCCTTATAAATGAAGGTAAAAACTATATGTTTTTCCAAATGATATATTGCTACTTCTACATTTTGTTAAAACTTGGCTTTGAATTACATAAATGAGCTGAAAATACAAAAATAATATAAATACATACAGTAAATGTACATAGGTGTGCATAACTTAGAATTAAAGCATAACTTAAAATGAAAGCATTACTTAATAAAGCTTTTGATCTCTAACTAACCCTACCATTTTGCTGACAAGAAATGCTTTGGTAAGAAATAAACAACAATGGGTTCACATGGATGATTTACTTTCCTGATGTTGCCCTTTGTGATTTTTGACTTATCCATGGGAAAACACTTGTTGTCAAAATTCTCAAGATAACAAATGTTTAACTTGATGGTGACATAACTATAAAGGTAAATACATAAGAGAAAGGTAAAATCTCCATAAGTCACAACTGCAGGATAACTGGCAGTTTATGATAGAGAAGTGCTTAGGTTCTCATTTGAGATGATTGACTTTGTTTCATATGTCACTCATACTTTACTTTCCGTTTGAGTTCTAATTGATAAGTATTGAGTAGTCGTGTTTCAAATGAAAATACAAGGTTGCTATAACTTTTTCATTTCCTGATATTTCAAGGCGAAAATTTTAATTTCCAGATTTTTTGGTTCACTTGATCTCCATGAAATCCATGCGATAACTTTGTAAACAGGTTATTTCTATAATCAATTTCCCTGATATTTCCAGGTTTAAAGGAACCTTGAAATAGTGGCAAATAATTGTTTAAGCAAACAATTAAAATAGTAATAGTCAACACTCAATATTGTATAGAAATTAACAAAATCTTTTCAGATTTCATAAGCAAAAAAATATGTGAAACTAGCTTGGCAGAGACACATTTTAGGCATGCACTAAAATCACTTACTATTATCTCCATTTTAATTTTGTGCTTGAATATGAATAATTTTGGCCTCTTTTTGAGAAAATGGGTCTTTTTGGAAAATTTAGCTCAAAATGTCAGGAAGTGGCAATTTCCAGATCCCTTGAAGTGTTTTTATCTCTTCTAAAAATCCTGTTTTCTGGATTTTGTTTTTCCAGGGATATAATGGAAGCTAGAGGAAAACCCAGGAAAAAAGATAACATTGCGCCTTCAAATTGTCCAGAAATAACATTCAGTAATATTTCATCATTTTGTGAAGAATCATTCTGAGCAAACAATAATTGTTTCCAGATCCCAAAGGTACAATTGCGAACCCTTCCTACAAAAACATATTTTTAAATAAAAAACTGAAATGAAGATAGAATCGTGGAATTGATATAACGCTAATGATCCTGCTATTTGAACTGTCTATTAAATATTCCATTTAACTATAGTTTTCATACTATCTTCATAAGATAAATGATAATAGAGTTTTGATGGTTCAGGATCATCAATCATTCGTTTGTGATCTACATGAGTCATAGCAACAGCTTCAACTTGTTGTATATCCCCATCCACAGTTAAAATGTCCGTCTGCTCGTATTTATATCACCCCAATTCTCTCTGAAATTTGAATGAGGTGTCTAACTTTCTTGCATTTTTATACAATTTAGAGTGTTAACTACACACCTATATATTTATTCCTTGCTTATTCCTCTCTTTCCACTCTATTTTCCACTTAAAAACATGGGCATCTCTACTATGGATAAAAATGTCTGCTCATGCATATATCACTCCAGATTTCCATGCATTTGTAATGTTGGCTTTATATCTATTTACTTTTTCTTGCTATAGTTATTTTTTTGGTTTATTTTGCATTTCAAAATATGACTACCATATGATAATATTAGATAATGACATGTACTTATTTTCTATGAACATCCATTGCAATGTTTTCATAGTTTTCATATTACAAAGAATATTGCGCCATGAAGTACCAAAAACACATTATGGGATCTAGGATTCATCCTAGGAGGGACATGGATGAATTACTTTAAAACCTGGTTGCTTTGAGAGGGGGTGTTAAGGGAGACAATATACTGTAATTCTACTTAATTTGGCAGCCATTTTAATTTGGCGGATCCTCTGAATTGTTCAAGTCCACCAAACTAAGTAGCCGCCAAATTCAATATTTCAAAGGTCCATGTGCAGTATGGCAAGTGTTTTTAGACAGTCATATCTTTCACCATGAGTACTTTCTGGGCATAAATACAGTGGTTTTTATTAAAACAACATGTTTTCTTTCAATTGAAGTCCCCATGTAAGTAGCACCAAATAAAGTAGAAGTACAGTAAGAATAGAAAGTAAAAGAGAAGGGAGTTGGTCAAGGTATAAGCACCATAATTTGTTAGGCAATTGGCCATAGACTTGATCTTTGAGCTAATTTCCTGTCTAAGTGTCCTTTAAATCTTTCTTTTCATTTTCGAATTGTGCTTTTATTGGTTCAATAAAGTTGTGATCTGGGCAACCAAAGAGGAGATGGCAAAACGAAAGTATATTTCATTGATGATATTGCGCCTTGTTCTATGATATTGAAAGTGCAATATTTTTCCTTTTCTAGGGATATAGTCACCATGACGACATGTCACAATATTGATTCAAACAAGGGTCAAGACCCGGCAATTACCGACCAATAAACTTAAACCTATGACTCAGAATCTGTGTCCCTCAAAATTAAGAAAAATATTCATAACATTTTAACTCAATTGGACAATCGATTTGTTGAAAATTCTAACACATTTTACTCTGGCTATCACAATAGGGAAGCATAATGAATGAGTTCTGACTTTGGTATGATATGATATTACATTTGGTTGTCTTTTCAAAAATTATGGTCACGATTTCAAAAACCTCTTATGCTAACAAAACATAAATTTATTAAAGCAATAGATATCATTGCTGTAGGGCTTCGGGCTATCAAAAAGGGATAATACTATATTGTATGTTATGCCAGAAAATAATTATATGATTATTAGTTTAAATGTCTCGTTTTACATTTTGCGTGTAAAGAAGTTCCCATAACATGTAATCCAAGGAGATGAGTTTTTCTTGGTAAATAGGTGATAAAATGCATGCATTTAGTAAAAATAATGCTCATTACTTTAAATCCACACATCAGATTACATAAAATCAGACATTTCATTCAAGAAAAAAACATAAAATAACAAAATTGATTATGCCTGTACAAATTACAAAAAAATACAATGATCCATGTACATATGTAATACTGTGTGTTTAAATTAAATGATTATTGGTATAAATGTCTCGTGTTACGATATATTGAAAGTCAGAGTATCCCATTGCGTGTAACCTCCATAACTCTATAAGCACCGAATGTGTTCTTATTGCAATCAATTTGTAAAAATCTATCAAAATAACACTATTCTATTATAACAACTGTTTTCATTGCATGATTCATATGAGATAACTAAATACTGGAATATTACTTGATAAAATATGCTTCATATTGCATAGGATTGGCTAATTGCGACGCAAAATGTGAGACCTATCCTCTATTAAGCATTATTTAATATCATTAGTACTTTTTCATTTCATCTCTAACATATTTAAAAAGCTGAAATATCAGAGAACTTCATAGTCTCGTTTCAAGAATGGAAACCTGACTCCTATCTAAACATAAACAATACAGTTGTTAGAGTAGATAGTCAAGAGTCTTGAATCAAGACTAAGAACTTCATAAAAAAGTATTCTATTCCATTCCACTAGGTTCTCCTTTCCCATCCAACTACAGTAAAGCTTGTCTAATCCAAATGCCACTTGGATTGGCCAAAAGTGTTCTCATTGGCAGGTGTTCACATTTCAAAGACTTTTATCATGAAAATCTATGGCAGATTGAACAAGGCATTAACATGCAAAATGTCACCACCTGCCATTTGTTACAGAGCCTGAATGCAAAAAGACAACCACCAAACTACAGCCACCAACTACCGCCACAAAAAAGTTAGAGACTATAACAATACATTACCTGGTGGTGATAAA